TAAAATTGTAGATTTTTATTAAAATATTTTATAAAGTAAATTTTTCAATTTTTATTATAATATTAAATTGTCCGGAATAAATTTTATTTTGTTCAAACCTTTGTAGTAGAACAAAAGAAATTTCCTGCCACAAACTATTATATTTTGAACTATTAAAATAATTATAACTTATTACAAAAGTCTTCCAAAAGAATTTTTGTATTCATAATCATCAACCATCAATGCAATTTAATAAGTTTTCAATGTTTAACTCATTTTTTTTCTGTACGTATTGCGTTGGAGTTTTGCCTCGCGTATATGTCATGTAAACTGAAGGAAAGTAACACATGGGGCGCGAGAATCATGCGTTAGCCGTCTCACACACGCCACTCTCGTAAATTAATTAAAAATTCATGGCCAAAATATCGTAAATAAAATTTTCAAATATTTAATGCTATTTTTTTTTTTTAGGAAATAGAGTATGTGGTAGTACGTTAGAAAATTTAAACACCTGATTGCAAATTAAAAAGTAAAAAAAACAAAAATTATTTGCAAACTTTGTCTTGTATTTTCTTCTTATTCATTTATAGATATCATTTTAATGAGAATAATCATGTTCAAATGTTGATTGAGTACTAAATCATATTAATGCATATAAAAAAAATTTGACTTTGGTTCTCAATAAATGTTTGTGTCTTTCTCCCAAGAAAAATGTGTCTGTGTCTATCTCTCTTTTCATATATATATATATATATATATATAAAATATAACTTTAACTCTTTATATTTTGCTTGCATTTTATTATAAGTCTCTGTATTTTTTTTAGATATTTTAAATCTTTATACTTTTATTTTTTAATATTATAGGTCCCTAAATGAACAAAGTATAAAGATTTTAAAAGAACTTAAAATACCGAAAAATAAAAATGTAAAGATTTAAAATATTAAAAAAATATGCAAAAACTTACAGGAAAACACGAGCAAAGTACAAAATTATGTTTTTCTTATGTATAAATAAGAGAGAATGATATATCAGTTTCAAATTTAAATCCAATTAAAGGTTCTTATCTCAATTTACAAATAATTTGTAGAGAAGTTGGAGCAAAAAAATTTGGTAAGTTAAGCTTAAGAAGAAATGACAAGTAAGAATCTATTAATATCAAATCAATTTTTTTTTCAAGATTTCAATATTGAAATGAGGAAGAAAGAGTTATGAATTTGAAACCTTTAATTATAAAAAGATTTTAATTTAATATTAATATTCTTATAAAATCTTTATTTATCACTTTTCCTAAGTTTAAACAATTTATTGGGTTAATCTATCTCTACCTTGGCTTTTTTCTTATTTGAGAAAATTGCTAATAAATCCTCATTTAATGAATTTATTGATTAAAAATCCCTGATATCATTTTAAGGACCTGGGTCCTTTGTAAGAATAAAGTTCTAGAGTTAAATGACTATATTACCCATAATCAAATACTCTCCTTTGTTGATCCCTCTCTCTCCACTCGATCTCCAACAAGATGAACGTTTCTTCTCCTAGATGCAATTTCCCTCCGTAATGTGTAAAAGTTATTTAATTTGACTCTTCCATTCAGTGAAGTTTCTTCCACGTGTGCAAATATCTTCAGTTAAATGTAATTTCTTTCTATTTTGTGCAAAAGTCATCCATCATATGCAAGATTCCTTCAATTATATACAGCATTCTATCATAAAGTACAAAATCAATTTGAGTGCAAGAAAATTTTAATGAGATGTACTTTTTCTTCAGTCACATGCAATACTTTTCAATTAGATGTAGTAAGTTTCTTTCACAGGTTCGCAATATCTTCAATTATATGCAATCTCTTTATATTATGCCTGAAAATCATCCACCACGCGCATTTTTTCGAGAAAAAATGGTAACCCCATCATGAAATTTTTTTTCGTACACTCCAAAGTTCTAAAAGTGCAACATATCTTAATATACTCCATTCGTTTTGAATTATAAAATTTTTTTAACTCATTTTAATTTAAAATATAAGACACTTGTTAGGTTTTAATTTTTTTTTTCAATTTTACTCTTATATTTATTAACTTAATTAGTTTATGTATTATTTATTACATTTTTTCTCACTCTTCATGATAGCTAAAAATTTGTTAGCTTATAAGGAGGATCAATGCTTTTTTATGTTATAATACTTCATTAAAAATATTATCTTTCATTAAATTTACTATTGATAATTGGGAAAAAGTGTAAAAAATTTATAATATTTTTAATTAAAAATAAGGATATAAATGAATTTTATTAATATTTGAATTACAGTTAAAAATCTCTCATATTTTGGATTAGAAGGGGTAAAATGGTATCCCAAAAAATTTCAATCTACACTCAAAAAGTTTGTTGCCAACACGTTTTTCTAGGAAAATGTTAACCTTATCTTGAAAAATTTCATGCTACACTCAGTTAAATACAAGCTTTTGAATCCGTATTCTAAAATCAAATGTCTAGGTTAACGAATTTTTAGAAGAAACCTCTTTAATTATCTTGAAAAATTTTCTTCAATATTAGACACAGCCTCTGGATCTCCACTTTTTATGAAAATGTGAATCTTTATTTTTAAATCAAATATCGAAAAAATTCATTCTTTTTTACCTCCATAGGCAGGACACAAAATAACCTTCTGCTTTTTACCTTTTAGCGATGTTATTATAACTGTAATTAACTTCTGAACTAATCATCATTTGTCTTGAAACGTGAAATCTAAAAAAGCTAACACATTGCAACTTTTCACCTAGAAATTTGTTACAACAAAAAGAAAGAAATTTCAATCTATGATTACGCAGCTAATTATGCATGCTCTGTTTCCTGTGTTCCCTACACTCTGCCTTCTTTCTTTGCCCACTTAGCATGCAACTTTGCCTTTTCCTTTTCACTAATTGCACGAATTCTTGTATTCTTTTTAAGTCTCAATTTGAATTGCATTCCCTTCAAAGACAGTCAATCCCACTTTGTTCGTTTTGAACAACCTCAGGCTTTATTATTATTATTATTTTATTTCTCTCTCACTTTTGTAAACATGATTCCATGAGCCCACTATCCACTGTACCTAACCCCATCTCATCCCCACACGTAGCAGAGCCAGGTTTGGAATCAGAGGTGCAAAATGATTTGATTTAAAAATAATATTTTAATAATTAAGAAATAATTACATTTGATCATCATTTTTTAAAAAATTATATTGAATAGGTTAATATTTTATATACTATATTCTTAATATCTTATCTTAATTATCAAAATATTACATATCCAATTAGCTTATATGCTCAAATATTTTTTATATAAATATATTTAATTTATTATAAAGAATAAGGAATGTAAAGTTGCAAAATTTACAGGCTTATAACTTTTCTCAAAAAGTGGGGGTGCATTTCCCACACGCAATGCTTAACCTGGGGCCTGGGGTTAGTGGATGTAGAATTGTTTTTGGTGAGACATAAATGAGATATGCTCAATCGATAGCACAATTTAGGTCTCGATTGGTATGATTGAATAGTTTTTAATAAAATTAAAATTAAAATTAAAATTAAAATTGAAATAAAATTAAATTATAAAAATATGTTTGATATGTCAGAAAAATTAGATGAAATTCTTACATTACTTTTATTTGGTATGTAAGACATAGAAATAGAATTATATTTAAAAGACAAAAATACCCTATATAAAAATTAAAATAAAACATAATAAAAACTTAATTGTGTACCAATACAAAAATTTATTAAAGGTAGCAAGGAAATACAAGAAAATCAAAAGTTTTCCTTCCTAAATAATAAAAAATCCAGTAAAATATTTTACAAAAAATATTATAATATATAAATTATATACAAATATTATATATAATACTATCTTATATATATATTATAACGTTTTATATATAATGAGCAAAAATATCAAGAATCAGGAGTGAGGTGAGGGTTTTATTTTTTTTGAGGGCAAATTTGTCTTTTTAAAATTTGTATGAAGGCAAAAGTGTCTTAAATGTTACAATTCTATAGAATTGCTCTCAATTTCATAGCTTTAAATAAGGAATTAAATTCAGCCTCTTTTTATGGAATCAAGATTCTCAAGAATTGTAATTCATATTTACCAAACATCATTTTATTCAGATTTTTATCTCAATTTTATTTCTATCTTCACAATTTCAACCTACCAAACATGACCTTAATTTGCCTCACATACTAAAAACAATTGATAGAACTATATGAATTAGGTTTTTTACATGTGCAAAAGTTAAAATTCAAACTTCAATCATTTGTTTCTCTTTTAATTGGTGGGTTCAAAACCAATATATCAGTCTAGCAAATCAAAGTTGAATTCATATTTACACAAGGTATCCTAAAGTTGAGAGGGAACAATCGTGCACTCTTAAATATATGTAGGTCCGCCCATGCCCCTACACGCATAATTTTCGCTCATCGTTCAAGCTTCATTATTTATAGAACCCAGAATATGAATAATTCTCCAACTTTTTTATTTTATACATCTCAAGAAGTTCGGAGACTTAAGGTCTAAGCAAGCAAGCATTGTACGATTGAGAAACAATCTTAAAGACTCTTTCTTTTTGACTTCATCGATATTGCCCCCTAAAAAAAGTGCCACTTTGTTTGTCCTTCTTCGGCTATGATTGCTTCCTCCATTTCCTTTGCTCTCCTGCAATTTTTTTTTTTTTAACAGAACAATCATCGAAACCAATATTCTAAGACAAAATCACTTTCACTGGATAATTTAAAATATTTTTTCTGTGACCGCCTTTACTTCTTCTCATGGTTTCTGTCATTAGGGATGATTAATAACTTGTTCACATAATACGTTATACAATAGTGAAAATATGGCACTAGTTAAAAGAAACAAACAGAAGGAAGCAGATTTGCATTCAAATGCAACATCACACTGGCCTGTGGGGTCACGATAATAAATAGTCAACTTGGCAAATGCTGAAGAAAACGTCATATAATTGTGCTACACGGCCTTGTCGATGTGTTCAAACCCAGCCACTCAAAACCAGACACATTTATCAACCATACCAACTTCATTTCTTGAAACTTTCCGTTGTGTCTCTTAAAAAGAGGATCGAGAATTGAGAAATTCAACTTATATATTACATTCATATATATAATGTTGATCTGTCTTTGAGCGTGTGGAGAAGAGGAGAAGAAACAAAAATGGCGACACTTGGACAAAAGCACGAGGCGTCTCTAGTATATTCTCAAGGTTGCTGCCCAACCACTTTTTTCAGCATACCAACAATATCTCAGTCTCAGATCACAGTAAGCAAACCCAGAAGCAGTACTTCGGAGTGTCGACACAATTTTGCGGCAACGACAGCTTCCTCAATTTTTCCGAACACACAGTTCACTAATCATGAATCTCTTCCGTCTCTCCAGGAATCGTTCACTGAGTTTGTTAGAGTATATCCTCAATACTCTGAGACTGAGCAAGTGGATCTCGTCAGGGCTGAAGAATACTACCATCTTTCTGTTTCCAAATATACATGCCTTGATTATATTGGAATTGGTCTCTTCTCTTATTACCAATTGCAACGCCATGACACTTTGAAAACCCAGATTGCTTCTTCTTCAATCCCTCAGGTGCCTCAATATTCAGAGGCTCCCTTCTTTAGTATATCGTACAAGACAGGGAATCTGAAGACTCTGTTGCTTCACGGGGGGCAAGAATCAGAATTTGAGACTACCATGAGGAAGAAAATCATGGGTTTCTTGAATATTTCTGATAATGATTACTTCATGGTGTTCACTGCGAACAGAACAGCAGCTTTTAAATTAGTGGCCGAGTCTTACCCTTTCCAGTCGAATCGGAAGCTTCTGACAGTTTATGACTACGAGAGTGAAGCTGTGGAGACTATGATTAGCTGTTCAGAGAGAAGAGGAGGCAGAGCTCTGTCGGCAGAGTTTTCATGGCCACGTCTCAGGATACAGTCGACAAAATTGAGGAAGATGATTGAAGGTAAGACAAAGTGCAAGAAAAAGAGAGGGCTTTTTGTGTTTCCACTTCATTCTAGAGTAACAGGAGCGAGATATCCTTATCTGTGGATGAGCGTAGCACAGGAAAATGGCTGGCATGTGTTGATCGATGCTTGTGCATTGAGTCCAAAAGACACGGATAGCTTTGGCCTCTGTGTGTTTCGCCCAGATTTTCTCATCTGTTCTTTCTATAAAGTATTTGGGGAAAACCCATCTGGATTTGGGTGTCTCTTTGTTAAAAAATCTGCCATTTCAGTTCTGCAAGCTTCTTCTTGTGGAGGAATTGTCAATCTTATACCAGAAAGAAGACTATTTCAGGTACCAGAGGATTCTTCAGGTACTCAAGTAGACCAAAAAGCAACCTCTATCTTACAACAAGAATTAGAGTCTCTGACCTCTTTCTCTGGTCGTATAGAATCTAAGAAAGTTGAAGAAGGAGTGCTATCTAAACTTCAGATCACCGAACGAGATGAAGTAAAAAAACGCAACACTGTTGAGAATCCAGAAAGAAGGAAAGTCCCAGACGATAAAAATGGAAGCTTTGATATTGAATGCAGGTGTTTAGATCAGGTGGACTCTTTAGGGTTAACAGTAATCAACAACAGAGGAAGGTACCTTGTAAATTGGCTGGTGAACTCATTGCTGAAGCTGAAGCATCCAAACACGGAAGGGGTTCCTTTGGTAAAGATTTATGGTCCAAAGATAAGATTTGACAGAGGGCCTGCTTTGGCTTTCAATGTGTTTGATTGGAAAGGATCAAAGGTTGAACCTGTTCTTGTACAGAAACTTGCTGACAGAAACAACATTTCTCTGAGCTATGGATTCCTCCACCATTTATGCTTCGCAGATAAGTATGTGCAAGAGAAGGGAAGGGTTTTACAAACCAAAGAAGGTGGTGTAGGCAAAGGAGTGAAGATGGAAAAGAAGAAAGATGGATCACAGAAGCTAGGGATAACTGTGGTTACTGCTGCGATAGGATTTCTGGCAAATTTTGAAGATATCTACAAGCTCTGGGCTTTTCTTGCACGGTTTCTTGATGCTGACTTTGTGGAGAAGGAGAGATGGAGATACACTACTCTAAATCAGAAAACAATTGAAATTTAGCTTCTTTTTTCTTTTGGGAAGCTTTGTTTGTTCTTGTGGAGTATAAAATTGGCTGAAGATTTAATAAGATTAAGATTCAAAATTCGTACATTTGTCTATGTCTACTATAGTGTCATGTCCCTTTATCAAAGCAAGATTGGGTGGATATAGTGGTTTCCTGGCTAGCCGGTTCTGCTATAAACTTTGTATATGCACATGACCAAGTATGTTGTGATCATGCTTGTATGATACGCATGGCTTTCGAAGAAAAATCAGCCCAAAAAGAAATTGTGAATTGTGACTAAATATTCCCAAAATTGTTTGGTGATACACATGGCTTTCACTCATGCTGAATTGTTTCATTGACACTGCTAACTGGTTCTAAGTTTACATTAATTATTTTTGCATCATTTATGTGCTCAAACATACCCTTCTCTCCCATATCCATACTATCCATAATAATTTCCTCCCTTATATCCAACAATACTCTCTCAACCACAGACCTTACAATCTACCCTTCACTTTTATTTTGTGTTTCTCCTTGTCTCTCTCCTTGTGGTTCTACTCCCATCAATTTCCCCTCTTGTTCCATATTTAGAAGCTCTCTTGCAAAATTGTGACCAACCATTCCCATTATGCATGAATAAATTCCTCTACTCACCAAAGTATCAAATATTGTGATTGGAGGAATTATTGGGTGAGTCACATTGACTTTTACCTCTGGATTTGTAGCAACAAAAGAGCATAAAAACCCTTGCACATTAGACTTCTCCAACTGAACAATTTTATTCATTTTCTCATCATCCTAATATATAAGTGGCTTATCTTCTAATGGTGGCACAATTCCAAGCAATGGAAACTTTTCAAACAACAATGTGCATGAAAATAGATCAATTAACATGACTAACTAACCTAAACAAGACTAACTTTAAATTAACAAAGACAAAGTTTAGATTCTTACTATCAAAAAATAAAGGTATCCACCACAATATTTCTCTGTTTTTCCTCTTTTCAAAGCATCTTGATAATCTTCAATCTATTTCATTAACTCTTTCACCACAAGATTAGACTAATTGTGTGAACCTAATGTGCTTCAATTAGAACATATCATCTTCAATAGCATGACAATTCCTAATGCAGGAGGGCACAACATCTCAAGAGTGAAAATTACAAACAATGACTTGAATATTTCATCATCATCCCTTGACATGAGCATGCTCTTCAAGTCGCTAAACCTTCTTCTATCATAATTTCTCTTAAACTCCATATATAAGCCATTGTTACAAGTTGCCACTTCCTCAACACCTTCCTCACCCTTACAAGGAAATCCCATTAACATTCCAACTAATATCTCATCTATCACTAACTGAATATTTCTAATGAATATTGATGAAGTTCTTGGATCAATTGCTCTAATAATTTTAGCACGTAGAACATGGGGTAATTTGGTGCACCTAGCATCTAGAATTTTATCAAACCCAATCCTATCTACCCTAATTTTCAACTATCGATTATTCCTCACATGAATTGCCACTTTCATAGATTGTTTATGGGAGCACCTTGTTAGGAATTCCACTTCTTTGGTTGAGGAAGTATCTCTTGTCCTTTCTTTTTCTTCTTTTACAGCCTTACATACTTGCTCCTCTTTTTCTCAGACAAATTATTTCAGGATTCCCTTGCACCTTTGTCTACCTCTACAATTCCCTTAAAGATTCATTTTCCTTTCTAATTCAACCAAAAATCCTACTTAAACTTGCACAAACCTATCATTTAGACTTCCCTTTCTCTGGTTCTTTCCCTTTCACCATTATATACTTTAATAAAGACTAACTAAACCTACTACATTCGAAATGGGAGAAGAAATGTGACTCAGAAATTTGAAAAGCAATGTGATTATTTGAATAAATGGGGCAAACTTACTAAAGATATCAACAAGTTTCTAATGTTGTGCCTTAAGATGGTCCTTTAATGCCATCATTAATGCATTGCCATAGTCGCCTGAATACTCCTCCACTTCACTAATGACAACCACTACTAACGTTGCTGCCTCTACCATCGTCCACCAAAATGTATTGGGCTTCAACAAATATGCAATTGATTGTCCACCAAGAGGTAGCTGTTTGTTTTTTGTCCTTTTTTCCTCATATAGGCAAAATGGCAATTAGTCAAGTGGAATTAATGCCAATGAAGGACCCATTTTTAGATTTTGATATAAGCCCTTCTTGGCAAATAAACTTGTGGGGAGGTTTTTTTAGGCAATTTTTCCTATTTCTTAGTGATGTTATGATTCCTCGTGTGCAAGAAAGTACCATCTTTTCATTGAAAAATGATTTAGGTGATGTAACTAATGAGTAATGTTTAGTCTACTAGTCAATATATATATATATATATAGATATATATATATATATATATCCAAATTAGTTATTTAATTTGTATTTTAATATGATAGGTTTGGATAAATGTCATTATGATAAAATGGTGTGGTAGCTCTCTTGTAAACGTGAGGTTGCAAATTTAATCTCAATTATAATATCAAACCATAAGCACTTACTCTTATAATTAAAAAAAAAAGTTAAGTTTGGTAATTTTCTAAAGTATCTCATAAGTGTGATTATAATCTGCAATTACTTCCATTTTTGAAAAAGAGAAATTCTTTTTCAATAAAAATAAGAAAAAGAGAAATCATATCACAAGAAGTCTAATAAAATACTAGCATATTAATTCACCTAATTAAATATTTAAAGACGTTGACTTGGAAAAGTGAAAGGAAGATGGGTCAATTGAGATTTCAGCATTCAATTGGTGCTCATACTTTTCATCTCACAATGACCATTAGTGCAATTAAGTTAGATTAAAAAGTTAAAAAAAATTAGATTAAAAAGTTACTGCCCTCATTACATTTAGATGGATGGATTTGAATTTTGATTTTAGATTAATAATTTCATAATTAAAATTTATTTATTTAAAATTATTGGTTTGGATAATATAAAAAAAGTTCAAATGAAAATGAGAGATTATAGTCCTTGACTCATATTAAAAGAAAATTGTTATTTCATTTTCAATTAAAGTTCATTTTTACTACTAAACTATACCCTCAAGAGCATCCATTGTTATATACTTTATTTTAGTACAACTAACCCCTTAAACTTTCAAAATCAAATCACCTAGTGTCCTACCATTAAATTGAACCTAACGAATGTTAAGTGAGGCAAGTAAGTCCCATAAATTTGTATAGGTGATAGTTTAATCACAAAAATTTGACTAAGTTTTGCCACATGTCATATCATGTGGAAGAGGGCTATATTATGATGATTCAAGAAGGGCAAGAGTATAATTGTTAAAATCCACTTACTCCTTCTTCTTCTTTGGATCTCTATTCCTATCAAGTCATTGTCTTCATTGATTTTCTAGATCTTCAACCTTGGGAAAAAATATGAACCCTTAAAACATAACCTCCCTCTTATCATCTCACCTTTTCTCCCTCTACCTCATCATCTCACCCCCTTCCATCTCATCCAGACTTTCAATCCCTAGGATTTGATTACATCGCCACTAACTAGATTAGTCAACAAGGTAATGTTTGCCACGACATTATCACTAATCACCATACAATTTAATTAGGAGGCAATTAAGCTCTCCTAAGCGTATCTGACCATAGAAGTGTTAAAACAAATAACTTGGAAAATTCTTTCAAAAATATCTGGGACCCCAAAAACCCTTTAAAAGTGTCATTTAAGCTCAAACTTAATGCTTTACAACATCATAGGAAGCATGAAAAAAAAATAGAACAAACTATAGGAAACAATGTCACAAATATCTTTTTTTTCACATTCTGGCATTGACGTTAAGACATATGGTCTATGCGTTGCAACATGTGATATAAAGAGGGCACTCTCGCCTCTGTACCATACACCATGGTGCATATGCCCTATCATAATAGCAAAAAAATTGTTATGACAATTTTCTGGACCCACTTCGGATGTTTGCCATTTTTACATCCAAAGCTCGATTAGAGTGATTCAAACATTCACATGAAACTTGTTCAAAAATCTAGCTAATGGTAGGATTTTGTTATGATTCGAGATTATATGTAAATTTTAGATACCTAGATACAAAAAGTTAGATTTTCAAACAATTTTGATGCATCCAAGTGATCAAACCATAAACCTCATACCATTAGCCCAACTTAGGACTTGAACCAAATCAAATAGAGCATTAAAACCTAATTGAGCAGTCATATACACAATATAACATTAAATACAAGATTTGGCCACCTAAGTCCCCAAGTTCACATGACAAGGCAATCACCACATAAACTCCCAGCATTCACCATGTGGCCAAACCATCCCCACATCATATACAAAAATATCACTACATACATTTGTATCAAAGTTTTAGCCTAACTTTGAGTCTCTCCATTTTGCTCATATTTTGCTATTGGTCCATGCACTTTTTTCAGTGTTCTAGGTCCTTATATTTTTATTTTTCATTATTTTAGGTCTTTTCACAAATAAAGTGTAGGGATCTTAGAGGGAACTAAAATAATGAAAAAAAGTGTAGGGACCTAAAATACAAAAAAAAGTACATAGACTAATAGCAAAATGCAAGAAAAGTACAGAGACCTAAAGTTATGTTTTTTCAAATTTCAATAACCAAGATAATTGATACTATTGATTAACATGTGAAGTTATAAATAAGTATTAAGGAAAAGATATAAAACATGAAAGTGCAATACATAATATCACCACAAGAGAGTGCATGATTCTATCCAACTAATCCTCCAATACTCTCGACTAAAGTTGTAGGCTATCTCGTAGGATTAAACTGCATGTTTAGTCTGAGCTCACCTTCTATGATAGGACTACCAGGCCAAGGCATCCTAATCTACTTTTTGACTACAGGTTTCCCTTATTACAAGTAATTGAGATATCATTACTCGAAGATCGCATCATATGGATGCTAAGGAATATAATCTCTAATACTACATCCTTTTGTGTACTAAGGAGAATAGTTCTCCAATAGCACACCCTATCATGTACTAAGAAGAGTATAAGTTGTATCTTACATCTTGAGATATTAGCAGTATTATATGGATTTAATCTCTATTATTTCCATTATGGTGAACTTCCACCATTACTAAATATCACATAAATCACCTTGAAATCATACAAAATCTTATCACCACATAACTTTCTTTAATTTACCACGTGTGCATATTTATGCCAATTACCACCCTAACCATACTAATGACATGCTTGAATGTTCACTTTAAATTATACATACAAATACTAGTTTTTTGCCCTTTTTCTAAAACAT